GACTCATTATATTGTCAGCTTAATAAGGCTCTGACACTTCTACCCCTTAGTCAATCAACAATCAGTTGTGCTCGTCATTTTCAGATGTACTTTTTTATTAAACAGAGCAGCTCAATTATGTGGCACAAACCAACACAAAACCTACGCTTACAGTAGGAAGAGGAGTAAGAAAAGGAGGAAAAAGCCATTCGTTGTTGGTAGTTTTGGTGGTTAAGGATGTTAACCTCACTCTACTCGACTCTTGGATATGGATAGGAGGTACAGTAAATGCTTTAAAGTACTTATAAGACTGAGCCACATACAGTATAGGGAGTGCTGTACATCACCCCAAGAACAGGTTATGTGTATGTTTCTGGGTCTTACACACAGTTCTTCTTGTCCTTACTGTCAGGCAGACATGACTGACTGGTCTCCATTTAGGAGCCGGTGGTAAAACCTCCCATTCTCAGGGTTGTCACTTCAACCACACGTCCACTGAGCTGCAGCTGAACCACACATAGCCCAAACCACAAGAGACTGGAGGTGGTTCATAACAGTACAATACATTAATGATAAAACCACAAACTACATAGAAAGAGAGAAGGTGAAAACAATGAGGGGCTCCTGCACACTGTCTAGCTTAACACCTCAAACTATAAATGATGCACATACTCCAGAAGATAACTGTCTATATTCATGTCGAAATGTATTGCATCATTCAATTAAATGTTTTTGTTTGTTTAGCTAAAGACCAGGAATATTTTCCACACTGCTGCAGTCAGGTTCAGTGTTTGATTTTACGGCTACAACCGTGTTTGTTTATTTATTTTTTATTGAAGTTTAAAAACCTTAGTTTATGGTGTTTGAATTAACACCATCAGTCCTTTTAAATAATTAAAAGACCCCTCTTAAATATTATAATATTTACTTATTATGTACTCACAAGTGGTGTAGACTCCATGATACGTGTACACCATATGCCCACCAGGATTTTCTTTATTCCTGCTGGAAGATGAACAAAGATACATATTCATGTTTTTTGTCTTTGTCTTTTTAATTCACAATATTAAATTACATTTTTGGGTAAGGACATATGATATATTTACTTTTATTAGTTTCTTTGAGTTTAGATAAGTGGGTAGACCTGACCTCCACCATGATGCCAGTTAATACTCCTCTGTATTTCCTCCCTGACTGTAGCTGGAAAACATGTCACTACAGCTCCAAAAGCTGCAAAATACCAACTGATATGTATGGGCTAGAGGGGACAGATTTACCTACAGTTGTGGGTGGATATGGGCAAAACTCTCCACATGTGTTGGAAGAAAAACAACGTTAGTGAGGAAAATAGAGAATATTTGGCCTCTTGTTGTAATTCTTTTGCCACAAGACTGACCTAATGTACGTGAGGTCCAAGATTAAACTATATGTGTCCACTCAGTTTGGGTTTGATCTTTAAACATCCGTGGAGCTCTGACTCACATGGGGTTAGTAGATAATGAGTGAATATTCAGCTTGAGCTGATCTATCTGTGTGTTTCATTGACCCCAAACTCAAACATTGGGCAATAAATGTGCTGCAACTTTGCAGCTGCTCAAACATGCTTTAATCAAAAATAATTTGGCTTCTCATTAAGGAGAATTGGTTGAACTTTAATATTAGAACCAGTATTTTCTGACTAATAATAAGAAAGAGCTTTGAATATTGATGAATTACAAACAATTTGATAGTGCTAAGTACTAACAGTACTGACATCTTTGAATGAACATTATCACTAATATTAAATTAATCCCTTTTGTCTGGAAAGACTTGACTAGAAGCTACATTGTCACTGTGGTCACTTGATAGAAATAGTATTATGTTTGAAGGAACGAAGGATAGAGGGTATTGAATGTTGTACAGATTGTAAAGGTTAATTATTTATTGTAATTTTGGGCTAAAGAACTACAATTTGACTTTGACTTTTACTTCACACGTCTGGTGACAAATGTTTTTCTTTATTTTTGTTTCCAGGACGAGAACATCATGAACTCCATGCAGCTGTTTGAGAACGTGATCTAAAGAATCACAATGCTCTCAGTTGTTGTCCTTCATTCGCTCACGTGCACAACTCACACACAAAACACAGCACACACCCATGCAAATCAAACTCCACACTAACACATGACATCCAGACACGTAAAGTAGGTACTGTAAAGATAAAGGAACTAGACGTTTTTTTTCTATTTCTCGCTGCGCTCCTTTAGCTGTATCTTGCAACTGCTTGTGGATTAAAAAGGACTGCTACAGACAGAAGAAGAGCTTGCTGGTTAAAAATCCCCATCTATCCAGTGTGTTTTTTTGTTTTTTTTTAATCCTAAATGAAGAAACAGAAGACCTTCTTGTGTTTTTACTGTCAGACGAAAAGAACCAACAAGGAATGAAGAAGCTTACTGTACAAATAATCCACCGACCTGAGCACACAAAGATTCTAGCTTTAACACTAATACACCTCGTCTCTCTCACACACAGTTTCTCTTTCACACACACAAACCTGCTGTTCCCTCAAGAGGTTTTAGAGCACTGGATGTAGTGAACTAACAGCAGCACAAAAAAAAATTTAAAAATCGCAGTGACACAAAAAATGAGAAATGAACTAAAGCATGTTTGTCATCAAATATGTGATGTGGAATTAGCTTGCACTACAATTTTATGACTATGTATTATATGCGCCTGTAATAAAGGCACTGTAGATACCTGCACCTGATACACCACTGGTGTATGTATATATGTATAGTTAATAGTTATATACCCTACGTCGTATTGGTCTCATCTGTGCTGCACTGGGTGATGGAACAGGACCAGAACTGAATATTTGTTTTAGAAATCTCTGTGTTAATCAGTTTAAAATCATGTTTAGTAGCAGTTCTTGACCAAATTTAAATGTTTTATTAAAATATTTCTCCTTTTTTTTGTATTTTGGAGGATTATGTTTTGCTGGTCTGATTGGAAAACTGAGTAAGTAAGTGTGAAGTAACAAAAGGACTGTTATTAGGTGTGTTCTTGCGCTGAATTAAGGCTTTATTGGTTCTTCAGTATCTGCGAGCATGCTGACTCTTAAGTGCCACAGTATTATGTCCAGTACAGTAGGACCTTTGTGATGTCGGTTAATTAAAGATGCTGTTAACAGCTGCGACTTCTCCTTATTATTGCGTCCTTTCACTACATTTCCTTGCTGCATTCAGATCATGAAGCTGAAAAACTATACGTGAACGAACATGAAGTAAACTGACAAGAGAGCCGTTAATCTGTCAGCAAATGTGAGGTGTGAAAATAGCCTGTTGAGAGAGTTATTACTTTTCTGGTTGAACATGGAATCCATGCAGCTCACAATGTGACATCTATATTGTTATCCTTCATCAAAGCATTCCTCTGCAGTTCAAACCAGGTTTACCTAACACACACATGCACACTCACCTCAAACTCCACTGCTTTTACACTGAAACCAAACAACTGGGGACAACATTGGGTGTTCTGGTGCACAAAGGCTTCAGATATGGTCAGTGTGTTCACATACACCTGATTAGATAATCATGTTATGCAGGTAATCTAAAAATGAACGCATTGTAACCTATAAATCTGCATATGCATGTAGAATCAGTGTGTTTACATGTACTTAAACCCTGATCCCTCATAATTACTGTTGACCTGTATCCCCAACATAAATCAGAATCAGAATCAGAAATACTTTAATAATCCCTGTGGGGAAAATACTTAATGAAGACCTAAACAGCCCATTCTGTGGAAACAAATGTAACATTCCTATACATCTATATAATCTGAAATGAAAATTGACCTAATATTGAGACCTTTTCTTGTCGAAGGCTTCCAGGTTATAATGTGGTTTTACAACTTTTATTATTTTGGTTTTTGTTGTATATATTGTGCTTATGTGAATCCTATTTCTAAATACATTTTGTTTTGTTAAATCACTGAAGCGTACACAATGATGCACAGAGTCTAAGAGTAAGAGGGAAGTCAGTAAGTGCCCACATCTTATTTTTTGCCCTGGGGTCCTCCTTCAGGTTAATCTGGCCCTGATCAGGTGGCCAGAGACATTCATGCTAATGTTGGTCCTTGTGAGCTGGTTAGTCACAGGCCCATTGTTTTATAACATACCATGGCAACATGGTAGATTTGAGTTAATCTGCCCCCATGTGGCCATAAAATGTATTAAAACCGTTTAGATAATAAGGCACTGCCCATATGTTCATGTAACAGTGTCTTTAGGTGGTATATTCCAAACCTGTATTTCATCAAAGCACTACAACCTTATCAAACATCTTAACAAACATATTACCAAACTCCAGTAGAGACTCTAAGGAAAGCTAATTTGTTATGCAAGGCAGTATTAAACTGGACATTTTCATACATTATATATTATTCACTTTATGCAAACAATCCCTTCGTCTCTTGACTTGTGTTTATTAGGGGACATATGTTAAACTAAATACCATGTTTTATAAAGATGTCAAATATCCTGTAATTCTCAAATAACTATCTACTTGATACATGTACCAGGTGTTCATGTAAAATCAATAATAGCTCAGTAAAAAAAAAGTATTTCAACGTCACCACAAGTTTTTGCAACTTTCTGGCTTAGCCCTGTTATTCAACCTTGTGCCAAATGGTTATGCCATAACTACCAGGTTCAGTGTGTGAATGTAGGCCAATAAAGGCAGTGCAAATAAACAACCATCAGATGGCAGTGTGGTGGAAACAGGAATGTCTCCACTGTGCCTGATGGCCGAGAGTATAGACCCCCTTTTCTTAAATAACATTTAAGGGGAACTTACGGGTTAAAACACACAGGTTATGTATGAAAGGTCATTATTACGAAAACTGTTGAAGGCACTGTCACTAAGAGCCTCACAGGGCAGCGTCACCGCTAAGCCCGCCTCTGATTGGCTGAGCCGCCGTTCCAGGGCGGGGCGAGAGGTGGACGCTTGACGTCACGGCTGGATGTGGGCATGCGCGGTGAGCAACGTCAACCCCGTGGCTTTATGAAAGGCGAAATCCCTCCATGAGAAGAGCGTGCGGTAGCTGTTTATAACCCCGTCTGTTGGAGAGAGAGAGAGAGAGAGAGGCACCTTGTGTCGGACGAACCAGGCTCTCTGAAGACGGCCTCATCTCTGTGCCACAGTCCCGTGTTGTTTGACCCTACCTTCAGGCTTCTAGTGTTGGCTTGTGTCTTCGCTTTCCCTCCTCCGCTTGTACAACACCAACCACGGGGACGAGCCAGCGGACGTTACCGTTTGCCGAGAAGGGAAGTGAGCTCCGTCTTCTCTTTCATCACGCAGGTGAGCACAAAAAACGTGTTTTTTAATCCCCCCTCCCTCCCCTCCCTCGTCTTCCCAGTGAGACAGACCTGGCGTACATGTGGATGTTGGGGAGGAAGGGTGTATAGAAACTGCTCTCTACGTGGTCGCAGCCGGGGCTCGAACTAGCGGCGGCTCGGGAGCGGTTAGAGATGTAACGGTGTTAAAGGGCTCTCCTCCGGTTGTTAGCTTGAGGACTTTGTGTGCCGGTGGGACCGTGTTGTCTGCTGATGCCGAAGTGTGACCGTGGCACACAAACGAGGACCAGTTAAGTCAGACTGAGGCAAATTCATTTCACGCAGGAGCTAACGTAATACTTAAATTTAATGGCGTGGAGGCCTCAAGGTTTCTAGATATGAGGGTTTTATTCTGACTGTAAAACAACAAAACATACAATTTAAAGGAAGGCCAAACACGCATCATTACTTGGCATCGACCCTTTTGCATTAGTGAGACCCCCATAAGGGTAGAGGTGGTCAGAAACACTGACACACTGGAGCTGATTTGGCCATTAGGATTTATTGGCTCTTGATGATGGGGTTGTCCTGGAAACGAGGCTAGGCAGGTGTGTGTGTGTGTGTGTGTGTGTGTGTGTGTGTGTGTGTGTGTGTGTGTGTGTGTGTGTGTGTGTGTGTGCGCTTTACAGCATGCGTTCATCTGTCAGGCAAACAGTCACTACCAAACCGGTAAAAATGTATGGCAGAGAAACATACAATGTTAGTGGATAAAGATGCTGCTTCCCTTGGAGTCTGGAGTTGGGGAGAGATCTAAAATAACTTGGTATTAAGCCCTTGATGCCAAAAACCAGCTTGACTGTCTCAGCTCCCGGTCTGATCAATCTGAATTGAAATTTCCAGATCATACTGTTGTGCTCAGTTTAGTCGGAGTAGGGATTTCTGGCACAACTTCACCAGCTTCAAAGTCTCACGGAGAACTTAAATAGTTTCGAGGTCAAAACTCCAGCAACATGTTTAGTATAATTAACTTTTATTGTGATGCTTTTCAGCTAATATAAACAACAAAGTAGGTCTTTATTGTACAAATTCTGCATGATCTTTGGCCTATCGTTTCTTTGTTTACTCACCAGCAATTCTGATATTAAATACTATAAAACTGATGTCGACAGGTTTTCATACTGGTGTGACGACCATCATTTGCACATCATGTCCATAAAAGAGGAAATTGAGTGTTGTACGGTATACACAGTAATGACATGAGATTAGTTATTGTCGGAGATTCAGAGTTTTTGTTGTCTGCATTAATCTGATGCACATATTTCGTAAGTTTCCCTACATTTTGGTGTTACCAGTAGGTTTTTAAACCTAATGGTGAAGTGCAAGTCTCAGATTTTTAGTTGGAGATGCACTAACCTAATACCCCCCAAGAAATGTTTGAGCAGCTGACTATTCGGCAGGCCAGTTGGATTTTGTCTGACTCTTCTCATGTGTTGAATCTTATTGTGAGCCAATGAATTCTGGTAAGAAGTGCGTTCTCCCATTGGGTAAGCACAACCGTTAAAAACAGTAATTTGTCCTTCTATCAGTTTTATTTTATTATTCACTTTTATCCTGGAGAACAGACAAAAGGGTAGCAGAGCGGTAGGAAAACTGTAGGATGGTGTTAACTGTTTGGTGCTTGGTTTTAGGCATGTAAGTGGCATGTGTTTGCATGTTTCTAGACTGTAGACACGCAGTTTAGACCAGTGTGGAAAGTGTTTTATTTAACCAGTAAAGTGTCCTTTTTGATGTATTTATTTTCTATTAGTTAATTCCTTTAATCCAAGACAATTACTCTGAAACTGGTCTAAAATATCCTGATGATGAGTGTTCTTCAGTGTATTTTTATGTCAAGGCCTATCTATAAGTGGCTCTCTTGTATTTTAATTTTAAATTAAACTTGTATGTTAGGCTTAGTGAGTTTTTAAAAAAAAAATTACATTAAGTGATTTGAGCAGCTGCTTAGTGTTACATTTGGTACTACAATCTTTGCACACAACACTATTCTTGTGTGCAGAGTATTTTGCATTGATTGCACCTGTGCCTGCAGTTCGAATAGGACTTGTAACTATATCTTGTATTGTGGCACGCTGGTGTGTGAGAGCAAGACCAAGGTTTGTCTCAGCTTCATTGAACTCTACTGTTGTCCATGGCAAACAACAATGGCCATATTGGTGCACAGCTAGTATGTGTAGTTACTGCTTTCAACACTGAGCCTTAAAACTGAACAACTGTGGAACTGTGTCAATTATTTTAGCATTTAGTATCCTGCTGAGTCACCCTCAAACCCAAGCAAAGGGCCAGACTAAGTTTTATTAGGCAAGTGTGCATACCAGGAATTTGGTTACCAACAGCTCACAGCGCGCATTCATGTACAGCCAGGCCAAAACAAGCATAAACGTATAAAAATAAAGTTTACGAAGGCAAAAAAGCCATAGAAACAGAGCTAAACACTGAGCAGCTGAACATGCGAAGGAGGTTTCAGGTTTAGTCAGCACAGTTATCCAGATAACTCAGTAAACCTGCATCTTGGCAGTGTTCCCAACCTCCTGGTCAGTCTCCACTTCAGACTCGTCTCAGATCTGACCGATGAGGGTTGGGGAATTTGACAAAAACGACCTCTCACTTGATGATGTAAAGGGAGAAAGGCTGTAGGGACAGTTGACATCTCTAGGTGGTGCCACTGCTGACTGTACAGGTGCTGGATGTAAGGTTGTCCAGCCTCTCTGGCTGCTTCCCGTCTGTAAGGAAGTCGATAATGCAATATTTGAGGAAGATATGCCAGCAAATGATTGAAATATGAAGTTTATTTCCTTGCCCCCCCCCCAATTGTTTCAGCTCTTAAGTAATTCATCATGTTTAAAAAGTAATTTATTTTTTAAACACAATAACAACTTACAAAATGTCACTGCATGAGAAATGTATCTCGTGACCGTGTAGTTGAAATGCAGCATCCGGAGTGTCCATCTTTTCTTGTATGGACGTTTGCCTCATAGGTTTTGGTTAGTACAGCCTCCTCTTACCTTTTTCTATTTAAAATAACAACCATGTTTCAGGCCAGAACATACAGAGTGCTGTGTGTCGTTCATTATCAGTACTAATCTAGGCATCCTGAAAAGTGCTGAAAAGGTACTGACCAGGTAATGCCTCCTGTTGTTCTTAAATGAATTAGTACATGTCCACGTGCAGCCATCAGTCAAGCTCATAAACATATTGTTGTTCCCCATTTCCCTAAAAGGTGCTTAAATACAGTTGCTTAGCAAGTTTATCTGCAGTTCAGCTTGTACAGAAAGCCGCAATTATCACATGCATCATTTCCTCTCCGTTCTTTCCCTGATTAAAGCTTTCTTTTCAGGCTTTCGCAGAAGCTCCTCCTTAGTAGTAAATGGATATAGAGCAGAGGATCACATCACAGGATGTTGGGCCAGGCTGGGCCAGGAACAGGCACAGTGAGGTGAACTGGGTCACAGAAATGGATTCCTGGCCCTGTTTGCTGTAGGCAGCGTGTGACTAAGATTACACCATAGTGCTGGGTCATGCTGTGCCTTCCCACTGTACTGTGTGTGTGGTGTTGCATTGTGGGTGGTAAATGGTAACATTTTGGCTCCAGATAGTATGACCTTAAATAAAAAAAAATAAAAAATTGTTGCAGTTTATAGGTATGTTACTTTTTTTGCTAAGTGAAGTAAAACGTGGCTACATATTGTGGCTTTCTAATCTTGAGTTTGTGTGTGAGATGAAATAAAGGGAGTAAAATGGAGATTAAATGGCCGAAGGCAGCATAGCACACCATAAGATTCTTGCATAACAAGGACTGAACAACATAGCCAGCAGTATTAAACTAAACTACAGTAATCACTATAACCGTATCAGAGAAGGATTTATCCTCCTCAGTGCCAGGAAAGTGATGTTTGTGAGCTGTTACTGATACTTCAGGGCAAGTTCAGGATGATATCCGCTCTTTACTGCAGAGGTATCCTGTGTAAAAATTAATTATTATTAATTTGCCATCCATCACAGAGGGCATTCCTCTGTTGCGTGTGTGGCTGGCTGTTATAGCTGCACACAATGACTGTCTACGTGCAATTGAACTGTTTTCACAATTCGAGATAAGTGTCAGTCATTTTGCCTGGTCTCATCTGGCATGGTCTAACGAGTTAGTGAATAAATGAGCATTCAATTGATTTCTTTTTGTATTTTAAAGATTTTCTCTGAATGTGAGTGGGGATGTGTGGATGGAAGAGACCAGTGGGGCCACTTATTGATTAATTGGGGATGCATGTATAAAAAACTATTTTCAGCAAAAATGCTTGTAGTGATATATTGGTGTCATTTAATCTACAAGCAGCACAGAGTAGGAGAGAAGAAGCAGCTCTGTGACGTCAACAAGAATTTGTTGCTAATTATAATTAATTAAATTAGCATCCAGTGTGTAACATTTGGGAGGATCTTTAGGCAGAAACGTAATATATAATATTCATAGGTATTTTTCATTAGTGTATAATAACCTAAAAAAAGGAATTGTTATGTTGTTATTACCTTTTTATGATGAGCCGTTTTTGTCTACAGACATAGCATGTTTCCTTCTGTGGAGGCACAGTAGCCCAGAACGGACAGACCAAAAACTGGCTCTAGACAGGGCGTTTTGCGCTATTGTTTTAAGAATACTGTTTGATTAAGTTCTTTGTTTAAGAAAGCAGCCTTTCTGAGTATCTTTGCATAGTCAAATGGGTGCACAATCCACATATACAGAGTCTATTTTCATTCCAGCTCAGAAATTCACTATATTGGTAATCAGTGTTTTTCTTTTTTCCCCTCTTGGCATCAGTCTCAAGAAGTTTGACATTTAAGTGATCAATTAATTTATCAAGAAAACAATACTTAGCTGCAGCACTAGTTGAAGAGTTTTATGTAATATACAACAGTGGTTCCACTGTGTCCTCTTTCCACCTCAGTAATAGTTGAATGCCCGGATGAAGCAATGAC